AGCCAAATCATCTATAAAATAGAAAATAGAAAGGGGCTTAAGACACACCCTTGACGCACTCCGATATTACACTGGAACATTTCGGAAAAATATCATTTGATTTAACGCAAGTTTTGACACAATCATAGATGGATCGGACACAGTTCCACATTTTGGTAGACACGCCCTTCTCATTTAATACAGACCATAATTTTGCCCTATTCACCAAATCAAACGCTTTTGAAAAGTCTACAAAAGCATAAAGTTAGCTTTTTTAGATAGAATCCTGTTAATAATAGTTTGTAAAATGAAAATGTTATCTATAGTCGAGTAACCATCTCTGAACCCTGCCTGCGACTCTGAGATCTTGCAGTAAGCATCAGTCCAAAACCTGAGCCTATTATTAATAACTGACACATATAGTTTACTAAAGACACTGAGAACTGTAATCCCTCTGTAATTGGACACCTTATGGACATCACCCTTTTTATGAACAGGAACTATTATACCCATAGACCACTGAGCTGGGAATATACCTTTATCAAAAAGCATATTGAATAAAATAGTAAGATATGGAATAATAACATCCGAAGAGTGCTTAAAGAATTCAGCAATATGCTTATCATCCCCCGCTGATTTAGAACACTTGAGTGCATCTATTCCCACCATAATCTCATCAGCCGAGATTGGCGAGTCAAGAATAGCAGTGGTATTACTATCAGTAAACTTAGACTCATAACTATTGGCCACACTATCGCTAACTGATGATCTACCCGGTGTCATATACATACTGCAAAAATGATCATGCCACTCCTGTAATGAAATACTGGGGATAACTGGAACTGTGGATGAAAAACTTTTTAATAACTTCCAAAATACCTTACTATTATATAAATTATCTCTCAAAGCTATAGACATTTTATCTTGGTAAGCTCGTAACAGAAGAAAATTATTTTTTTGCCTTTAAATAATCTTTAAGAGTATCATCAAGTCTACATCGTCTATAAACACACAAAAGCCTCTCTCTCTCAAAGCGATAATAGCTACACTCAGAATCATACCAAGGCTGAGAATTTACAGTGCCATCACGACATTTACGTTTCATACATGTACCAGCTTCACATATAGCATTAGTAAATAAATCAACAAACTCAATAATATTATCGAACATGCGATCTAGGCATTAATCAAACATTGAAATAATTTTATCTGACAACAGATTTTCTCTGAAAAGTTCCGTGTTAGTCAAAACGTTGTCACATCCCGCCGAGCACGTCACACGCCATAAGCTGAGAGCAGTGCGATACGTTCTCACATAGACATGTCAAACAAAACAATTCGCGTCAAGACACTGGTCTTCCACGATGACACTTGGTATCCGGTCATAGGTATCACTTTATTACATTGTTGGACATTAATTTTCATTCACATTTGAGCCAAACTATACGTTTTTCGTTTTTATATCCTATAATTCATTTTTATTATTACCCGCTGGCCCGTCCCGGATTTGGGGCATTTAGGAAAATTAATTCGTTTGTAAGAGCGGCGTGTAATGAATAAATCGAGTCAGTCCTACTCAGTCCGACGTCACAAGCCATCAACCAAAACACTGGGCCTGTCAGTTTATTTTACCACCATCACCCATAGCCCGTGGCAAGCTCACGCCCGGATGTTAGATGTGGAAAAGTACTAAAATCTATACTTTACTGAGAAAATGTAATCCCCAAAATAAAATATGTGGAAGCCAAATCGTGGGCAATAAATACACTCTTTAAAAAACCCCAAACGCATAAGCCATTTAAGAAGAATTTATTGTGTTAATTTAAGAGCAATTATTTCATGTAATTTCAATGGTAAAAAGTTTATAGACAAAGAGTTCGCCGACACAGCAGCAGCTCTGGTTGTTGTGTTTCGAGAACTGTTTACTTGAGTCCACAAGATGGTGTCTCTCATTCATTCACTGTATTTGCACAAGTGTAGGCCATCGGCCGATATACCCGTGAAGGTCCGGGTTAGAATTGATCTTCAGTAACACATGCCTGTCGTAAGAGGCGACTAACGGGATCGGGTGGTCAGGCTCGCTGACTTGGTTGACACATGTCATCGGTTCCCAATTGCGCAGATCGCTGCTCATGCTGTTGATCAGTGGATTGACTCGATTATTTACAGACCGCCGTATATAGCTGGAATATTGCTGAGTGTGACATAAAACTGATCTCACTCATTCGCTCTTCAATATATATAAGAATGTATGTATATATATATATATATATATATATAAATATATGTATACATTCTTACCGGACAAACTAGTGATTGATAGTATAGGCAACTATCCTCGCAGTCAGGCACGAGGTCACGTAATCAACCAAGTGACCCAGACTACTTCTTTCAGTGGTATTTAGAAGTTGGTATGATGAAGAGGAACACTTTTTATGGATAGACAACTTCTGTATTGCAATATATGCAAAGTTTCGGTGTAGATTCTAACGCCGTTATGAAGCTTTAGATAATAGCAATGTCTGAGGGTATAAATTGTTAAGCCAAAGTTGCAGGTTTTCCCAAAAAGTTTGTGTCTCGAGGCATTCCCAGTATACATGACAACCACTCTCATTTACGTCATTGCAGAAACAACATAGACTGTTATAAACCTTTTTTATTTTAAGCAATTCTCTTTTTGTGTAATTAATACCTTGTAGAAATCTATATTGAAAATCTATTGTATCGTGCAGACCTTTTCTATACACTGTAAATAGATTTGTCCAATCAAAGTCTGTTTCAGGAAATATAAGCTGCCATTTAGTACAAACGTTTGGATGTATATCTTTGGATACATGTTTATCATAAACAATCTGCTGATCTCGTACAACTCTACACAAACAGCTCACAGTTCCCCATCCTAGACCACCCTACCCCGAGCCAGCATCAAGGTCCACAAAGACCAAATCAAAGCCCGTTTCCTAGTCTCCACAGTCCACAACGATACTGCCCAGCTCCTCGTCCGCCTTCACGCCCCACTTGGTAAATCAACTAACCCCTGTATATCAGACTCCACGGAATTCTGCAACATGATGATCACGATCACCCATCCTGGTAAACTAATCTGTTATGATGTAGTTCGTCTATTCACCAATGTTCCGAGAGAAGAAGCCATCATCGGAAGAGTAGAAGACATCCACGCTGACCAAGACACCCCACCTCACAGTACACAGCCTCATATATTCCTGCATTAGTTCCACATGCTTCACCTAGTCTACCTATGGAATCCCCTCTGTCCTCGATTATCACCGAGATCTACATGACAGAATTAGAAGAGCAGGCCCACCTCACCACACCCATCATACCTCTAGATGATCCCGCCTGAATTATCAACCACCTAAATGCCCAACATCCACGCATGAAGTTCACAATGGAAGAAGAAAGCGACACTATGCTTCCAGTCCTCAACTTTCAATTAGAACAGGACAACATCAAGCTCCATATAAGCGTCTATAGATCCACACGGACCAACATCTTCACTTCACATCTAATCACCCCCTACAAGTTAAGAGGAATAATCGCCACCCCATCCTCGATAATCGTCAAGGTACAAATGTATACGTTACGATAAATCTCCACTCCCCCCTGGATGCATCTACGGCTCGTCCCGATGATTTCATTACCTCCCTTGGCTGGCTTTTTATCCAATCAGGGGTCTACGCTGGGCAGTTGAGCGTACCAATCACAACGCACTTTCACTTCTGTTATCTAACCGATTACACTTGGCAACACATTTATTTTTTAAGGTTTCAGACCTTTCAATTTGTCTGTATGATTTCCCTCCCAAATCTGAGTCGCACTGCGAACACACCTTCGCGGCTTCGAACGCTATCTTTCTTGACACTGGCAAGCTCGGTTGTAACGGCGGCTTATCTGATTGAATACTGTGAGAATGTGGAGCCAGCAAAGGGAGCCATAGATGCATCCAGGGTACTAGTGGAGATTTATCGTAGCGTATACCCTGGATATTATCGAGGATGTCGCCACCCTAGCCAGGAGAGTAAAGAACATCAGCCGCACAACCAAAGCCCTTGTTGAGGCCGAGTTGAACAGAACAGAAAGTTTATTCTGAGAAAACACCTTCGTCATGTCTTCATAAATCTTAAAGGCACAATGTCACACCACATTGCTCTAAAAATACATAAAGCATTTCTCTCAATAATACTAGCTATCAGCCCTCAGGGAAGCCACCAAATAATATATTTAAAATACAGTTACGTATTTAGATTACAATATTAAATTAAAAAGTCCGAACGAATTAATGTAACGTTGCATTAAATCGACTCTCGCGCCCACTACCGGCCGTACAAGAGAACCCCATAGAATTATGTCCCTTGGAGCGCTATTTACGAATATCCTACGCAGAACCTGTGATTGAAACCAGTTAGGCAAACACCGACAACATCGCGTGCGACAGTTTTCGACGTACGGAGCAATCGTCTACATTCAATATATGGCAAATGGAATCTGTTGGTAAGGGAAATAAGTCTTTTATTGCATCAATAGGAAGCTAAAGTGAGTGCATATCCCCCTAATATATGGAATATAGGCGAAAATATTGTCGAACATGGCGTGACACTGTGCCTTTAATCTGTATCCAAACAGACCATCCCTCCCCATGCCTGCCCTTTGTCCATCTGACTTCATAGCCATTATCTGTAATTACAACAACTATCAATAATGCATCAACCAATTGTATAAACTCAAACACCATTCATGTATATATTTTCCTTGTGCATAATGCTGTGTGGCATTTGCTTGATAACGGTGTCAGCATCTACAGCGAAATATCGCATTTATTGCAATGGAGTGAGTGAGTGTATAGTTTTACGCCGATTTTAGCATTTTTCCAGAAATACCATGGCGGGGCACCAGAAATGGTCTATTGCAATGGAGAAGTTGTCCAAAAAGTGTTCCTCTTGACCCACACAACTTATTACCCAACACGCTTTGTAGTACAAGTATAGACTGCAGACCGAGTTCTACAAAGTGACCTCAGTGCTGGGACCGTTCTCATTCACGTTCGATGATTTCAACGCCAGGATTACTCTGTTGAAGTGGCCCTGGACTCCAACTGGGTCATTATGGATAACAAAATTAAAAGACGCATTAACAGCTCTCACGTTACTTTTGTAAATATATTCATTCTTCCGATACATTTTGGAATAAAAGAAACTTGGAGCAATGATTTAGATTAAGAAAACGTTTAAACAGATTATCAAATTAGTAGTAAGTATGAAGACAAACTATCTATATGTTATATATCTATATCTATATCTATATGTTCATTAACGCTTCGAAATTATCATCACTGAAATGTCACTTAAAGAAAACTTCAAATTTTAATAGCATTTTTCCCTTAAGTCAACTGTACTTTTAGGTTCTAATGCTGTTGATTGCTTATCTGGCAAAGATAACCCCTATTGGAGAGATGTTTTATCTGCTTGGAGAATATTTTATAAAAAACACATCTTTGACCAGCCACTCTGGTTAAACCATTTCTTTAAATCTTCATACATGATAAGAAATTGGTTTAAGTGCGGTATACATTATGTCAGCGATATTTGTAAAGAAAATGGATTTCTCAGTTTTGAAGATGTAAAACAGAGGTACAAAATAAGCGGAACCTTCTTAGACTATCATCATTTGTTAAATAACATTCCAATGAACTGGAGACAACTTGTAGGAAACAGAACTTTCTGCTTAAATCAATTAAACATTAATAGAGTTTACCTAGATATGATCTCAAATATTAAAGGTTCAAGGATATTCTATGATAAATTGATTAAGAACAACGATACCCCTAAAGTACTAGAGTATTGGAAAACTGTCTTTCAGCAGGATATAATGTGGAGTAATGTATTCAGATATTACAGGAAATGCACAAATGATTGTAAGCTGTTAGATTTTCAGTACAGATTTATTTACAGAATAATCTATACAAAGAAAGAACTATTGAAGATGAAGCTAGTTGATAATGATACTTGTACTTTTTGTAAGAATACCTCAGAAGACATATTGCATGTACTTTTTTACTGTGATTTAGTTAAAAACTTTTGGCGAAATGTAGAACAATTTCTAAATGCCCACCTCCAGTGTGATGTCACATTTACAAAATTCACTATCATGTTTGGAATGTTCTCAAACAATAAAATACTAAACCATATTATACTTCTTGCCAAAAGATTCATTTATGTTTCAAGTATAAAACAACAAACACTTTCCCTTGAGGGATTTCTTAAGTTATTAAAAGATATATATACAACTGAAAAATATATAGCTAGGAAAACAATAGCTTAGATCCCTTTATAAGGAAATGGAAACATTTATATACCTTACTATGTGCTAAACATTAAATTCTACTTATAATATCAGCTGAGACTTCCAGACCCTACTCACTACAACCATACTATTCAACCTTACCCCTCCAATTTCATATTCCCTCCACAGAAACTTTAATGACATCTTATGTATCTATATAATTGTTGTAATCTCATGATGTTATATTTATATATATGTATACATGCGTGTATGTATGTGCATATGTATGTATATGTATATATATATGTATATGTGTGCAATACTGTCGTGTATGTATATATTTGCAAAACATCAATACTGTATATATTTTATGTCATATAGAACCTTGCAAAACATCACTATGAAGCTATATACATATATATTTGATGATGTTGTCCTTGTGAGACTTTGCCAGCGTGGCATGACACTGGGCTGCTATTTTTATGTGAGACTTGAAATGGAATCCAAAAAAAACAATTGAAATTGTACGGTTTTGGCGTAATCTCTGCTGTACTGAACATTAGATCTCCCTGTGGTGGACCTGTATAATATGTCTAAAATGGAATTTTATTGTTTCACAGTGGATACGATCTTTAGATTTTCAGAATTAGGAAAAGGAACTTTGGAAAGACCCAGGGAAAACTAACGGGAATAAACTCCGTACAGTTTAAGAAATTACGAACAGCTTAGCCATATGTTACTGAAATTCTGCCAAGATCTCATCGCAGTATACTTAGTAAGTTACGATGTGGTACCCTACCTTTGGAAATAGAAGTCGGTAGATTTACACGCCCTGAAACACCTTTAGATGATAGAATCTGTAAATGTTGTGATGACAATACGATTGAAGACGAAGTTAACATTTTCTGGATAGCTGTCCACTACATTAGAATTTACGATGTGACCTGTGGGAAACTGTAATAAATATTAACCCATTTTTTCTCTCTTGTCGCCTACTGACCAGGCCGCATGTATGCTAGGTAATGTTAAATTAATAAAACCCTCATCTACATTGGTTACTAAAATGTTTACTAGACGCAAACGCACTTTGTAGTCATGTAATTAAATATACCACACTTCACAGTTGGTTGATTAATTTCGTCAACCTAAACAAGCAGACAGACTGAATTGTGAAAGCCCATTGGGTGCCACTCTTTGAAACTTGTCCGAATAGTATAAAGTATCCTAGGAGTGCAAGAGATTTCTGATGTGTCGATGAAATGGTGACTGAGATCGATTTGGATCCCAATGTGTGTGTTTTCTGCCATGATATCATGCCATGCAATAATGTCGTTTCAACTGACCTGGGCCCCGTTCCTCAAAGAGATCGTAGCGCTACGACAGTCGTAAGTCTATGTTAAAGTATGGGAGTTACGATCACCTTAGCGCTACGACAGTCGTAAGTCTATGTTAAAGTATGGGAGTTACGGTCATCTTAGCGCTACGATCACTTTGTGGAACGGGGCCCTGGAATACTAAAAACACACTTGATTTATTTAAAGCCGTACACTTCATCAACCCCTTTTTACAGTTTAATAATTTAAAACATTCCACTCGGATACATATGTGAATACAACCTGGAATCATCTACCTCAATATCTACGTGACTGTACAGAACTTGGTGGTACCTGGAAGTAGACATTTCTTATTACACTGTCAGTATAAAACCTTTGATTTTGAGGGGTTGACGGTGCATGTTGTTTTGAGGGATTAACTCTCTGGGTTATACTAAATTCTGAACTACCTAACGAATTAGGAGCTAGTTGAATATAGGTGACGTGAACTCACCCCGTGTTCACTTTCATGATTGAAATCAATAAAGTTGATATGAACTCACTCATGTTCTTAGTTTGTTTTCACAATTGATTGACATTGATTAAAGAATTAAACACCATCTCAACAATTTGGGTACATAATATGCTGGCCATACCTTCAATTCATCGCTTTCATTATGGTTAACCAGCAGTTAGAGTATAAGTTCATTCCGACTTCACGAGGTGGCAAATATCTGTGTGTCGATGGGTTTATGTTCGGAACGAATCGTAAGAGAAATGCTGCGCCCTGGATGCCCTGGATGTACTGGAGATGTGTAGAGAAAGGCATGTTCTCATTTCGCCTACATTCCAATTCGCCTACAGTCTTAAAACAACATTTCATGGTCTGTTGACTGTTGATTACGCAATGGTAAACTAGTGGCACCCCTATGATCTAAAAGTGGACTCTCCTAGTTAAAGTAGTTGAAGGACAAAAATAATTTATTTCTGTTATTTGTCAGTTATTTATTTATTCTGTTATTTGTCATTTCCCGGTCACGATGATATTCACATTATATCACAAATTCATATCATATCACATTAGTATTAAGGAAGTTAACTTGTGCAGATGTCCATTCAGGAGATAGACATATTGTGTTGGAAAATTAGAGGTTTATAACTAAATTATAATAGCTCTAAATTTGAATTAAAAACTCTACGTGCAGCGTGAGGTTTTAAATACAAAATTTAGAGCTATTATAATTTTATCTCCATTCTACCATAGCCGTGTTATTAAGATTTAAAATAAAACATACTGTATTGGAAAATCAGAGGTATACAATGTGATTATATACCTCTGAATGACTTTGATTAACCACAATCCAGTATTTACTGAAGGCATGGTAGAATCTCACTTCAACTTGATAAGGTGACCAGCCGCGTCGAGGACTTAAAGGGGTGATCTTCAGAACAAATGTATTATGTTACCTACGAATACATAAAAATACCAAAATAGTTGAAGCGTTTTGAACATTTGTGATGTGCTTTCTTTGAATACAAATGTCAGTTGAAACATTTGCTAGATAAAATTTAAGGTGTAATGATTTTAGTTCAGTTTCTATTTCCATCAGTGAAAATGACATTGCTACTTTCCGACAGACACCAAACAAAGATAAAACCTTAAACTGGTTGTAAACAGTCTTTATTCACATGTCCTATGCATTTAGATAAACAATTTCCAAACTGTTCGATGTTTTAATATACCAACTATGATTTAATTTGACATATATAAACGTTTATGAAATACAAGGAATTATGCGATATTTGTTTCATTTTTTATTCTTGCACCCAAAATTTATTTTTTGATGCATTTTCAAATTTATTTGTACTTACCGAAAGTCCCACCCGTTGTCTCCCAGATGAATAAGATAAATATGTAGCAATGATTTGTTTGTGAAAAGAACACTAAGTGGTGCTATTTCACTTACACCAAACAAAGGTACCAAAATGTAAAACCTGAGGTTATAAAACATGAAAGAAACCATGATATGGCTTCAGTGTTTCTATAGTCATTAACATATTGTGCATGCAGAACAACAGTGAATTTGGATGTTAGGCAACACACAATCCATCTAATCACAGGATATACAAGGTATGATGTTGGTATTTGTAGGCAATTCAGAAAACGAGCCTTCAACTTCACTGATCCACAAACTTGTCACTTTTAGAGATTAGTGATGGCAACTGATTTTCATAAGAGGCAAATATGTTGACTTTACATTGGTAAAAAGAATTATAAGGTGCAAGCAATTCTACTTTGGACACCTTATACCTAGCTGTGTACACTTGTCGTTGGAATCGAACACATATCCTTATAACAACAGTCGATCAAGATGTAGTGTGACACTGACCAATGAGTCTGGTTCATTATAAGAGTAGGGGTGAAATTTTTAATCCCAATTAGCCTACAGTATTTTGTATGCGAAATGGGATGTAGGCGAAAAACTGCAACTCGACTGTCGACTCGACAGAGCAGCAACTGAATGAAATCCGCCTAGTATAGTATGGTGCTGGTTAGAGATTTCCTCATAAGGGAAGGAAGTACAGCAACATCAACAGCAGCATAGACATTTTGAGGGATGATTTGTCTGCAGGCAGACTTAGTGTACTTGTGTACGCAGACGCAGTTTTATACTTAATGAAACTACAGTGAAATCTGAATGTGTACTATGTATCATTAAATTGTTTTATCATGCGTGTAAAATAAAATGATGAAAATAATTTGCGCTAAGATGTCCATTCAATGAATTGTTTTGTTGGAATTATATTTTGTTTTGTTGCCATATCACGAGTAGAGTAAAATATTCTCTAAAATCTGGTATATTTTATATATATCACTTCGTTGTACAATTTTTTTTATTTTCCATTTGCGAATTCAGTGTTACCCGCATGCTTATCGTCACAGATTATGTCCATTGTTCTCCAAATGCGGTCAACCTGAAAATCCCTGCATTGTCCCCCGTTGTTACAAACATCACAAAATGTCTACTTCACGGACATCAAACCGGTTGACACATGTCACAGGTTTCAAAATACGCAGAACGATGTTCATGATGTTGATCACTGTATTGTCTGGTCCAGACTCGATTATTTACAGACCGCCGCCATACAGCTGGAATATTGCTGACGGCGTAAAACTAAACTCACTCAGATTAGCTTATAAGTACAAACAAAAATCCATTGAATTGTGTTCCATGTTTCTCTAGCCTTTCATCATCTCTCAGTGTCTGTTTTATATGTAATTCTAAGTCTCTTGCTTTGAGCATGTTGTACATCGAAAACAATTAGTAGAAACACCATCCAGATTACCTGACAAGAGTTCCTTATTGCGGGTCTATGGTAATTACTCAACCATATAAATGTAGATGTGATGTGGTTAATGTATAACGTGTTATGAAATAAGCGGTTGAAGCGAAGCAAGAGAGGGATTATCAGTTGAGTTCCAAAAATCCAAAAACGCAAAGCAGTAACCGCTAACAAATTGACTGAATTATCATTCACGGAGAGAAAAACAAAAACAAAAGCAACAACTAGTCCCGTGGAATTGTTCTTTATCGGTGCTGCATTTGATTAAGTGATCAAATATGTTAGAAGAAAGGTATTTCCGTATTATTTGGCAAATCCCATCCTGGAAGAGATTATGCTTACTTTACTTCTGTGTATACACTTTAATACTTGAACTGGGATGAATGTTGTTGTCCGGAGGATCATATAATTGAGTATACATAGAATTATCGTCATTCTATGTGGGATTTTATAGAAATATATTTGATTATTTTGATCTTGAACGTTTTTCAACTGATAAGATTGTGTGCTCACTTTTGAATATACATTTTATGAAAGGGAGATTTTTTTCAGATGTAGATGTTTTTTCATTTTTTTTTATTATTACAGCATAAGAAGCAAGTATACTGTTATGTGTAAAAAATAATTAAAAATAAATAAACATCGTTTGAGAAACTGCATTTAATGATTACCAACCATTCAGGTCAGACATAAAATGTGTAGGCCGAACACATGAGTACATTCAATAAAATATTTAAAATATATTCATTGTAATGGATACACTTGTATAATTATATAAAAAATCTCTTTTCATTCTCGGATATTGATTCACATCTATTGATTCGCCGATGAGGAGGGATGCGATTCTCTAGAGTATTTACCATCTTACGGGTACTAAATGTCGTGGAATAATCACTATTCTGTGCGGATTCTTTAAACAGTCTGTATATCTATTTCTATTATACCTTGAAGTTGTATTTAACGTCATTATATAGAAAATGGATAAGATAAATGAAGAACAAGCTGGTTTTAGATAGGGATACTCAACTGTTGATGACATTTTTATTCTGCACACTGATGTACAAAACATTTGATTCAGTGAAGAGAAATAAGCTATAATATCTATTACCATTCGCAGATGGTATCATTCTTTTTTCTAATGCTACTATACTTTGAACTTAATTTTAACGTCATAATAGATTTTGAAAATATTTATTTTGTACATATGTTAGCCAAAAATATAACAAAAATGTTTTTAAGACGCAATTTACATGAGTCTACTTAAAACATTATATACTTTCTAAACATATTTTCAGCACAATTTAACGTATGATATTGTGTAATGCTCTATATAATTTAAATGCTATTCTCTTTTAACACAATGGTTGTCTATTCGCTCTATGTTTTTTATTCATATAGTTCGTTTAATACTCTATTTTGTAATATGCTTTTTTATATTTCACAAGTTTTAAATGTTTAGTGTCTCAGAAGCCAGTAATGGCTGGATGACAGTTTTTATATAACTACTTTGAATGCTTTGATTATACCTATTGTAACTGTCATGTGACACTTTAATAAAATACCTTTATCTGCCTGTCTATAAACAAAATAGACATTATCCAGAATCATGGTCGACGAGAATAATTGTTCCAATACACAAACAAGGTTATTTAAATAACATGCACAATTATAAAGGGTATTAGCCCTCTTAGTACATACTGCAGGAAGTTTGTATATGATAAATAAAGAACAAGCTGGTTTTAGAGGCGAATACCCAACTGTTAATGACAGTTTTATTCTTGACACTATTGTAACAAACAGTTGATTCATTGAAGAGAAATAAGGTATAGAATCATCAACATCACACGATCTAAGTAGAACAATAAATAAATGCAGTAAAGGCGTGTGTACGACATAATAATAAAACAAATCCGAGGCTTTTTTTAGCCAGTTATGAGTTTTAATTTCAAGAAAAAGATGACAAGCTGAAGCCTGAAAAACTTGGGTCTCTTCTCCCACATCAACCTAACATCGTGATGCAACTGAAATATTGTGCAAGCTTGAACAATGAAAATGTGAAGAAAAACAACCCAAGTGTGCATTGAAGAATTTTTTTGAGAAAAACGGAAACTATGGTAACAAAGATTGCCTCTGATAAAACCGCCGGCCCCAAATATTTACTGGTCCCCTTTGGCCCTCTGATTGCTGACGGGTGGCGCGATAGGACAGTTCTTCAGTTGACTGGTTTAACATTTTTCAGGAATTATTAAATAACATGGCAAACAGTGTTTAAAGACGATTTATTGCCGAACTTATTCTACATTTAAACACAAAATTGGAATTGGATCCCTCTCGGCTGGTACTGCGGCCTGTGTCGAGGAAAATGTTTCCACCAAACGATGTTTGATGTTTTTTCTCGACTTTTGGTTTTACTTTCTTTCATTCTTCAACATAGTATTGCGAATCTAGGAATAAGAGATAAAGTAAACACCGTTATTCCAAATGACCATCCGTAGTTAATATATTGACAGGACCGCGGTTATACTGAAACTTCACGTCCAGGAAAATATAATGTGTTAAGCTGAAGTCGTATATGTTTACTGAAATACTGTTTTGAGTTTTTAACAACCGTTACGTACCCTTATCACCTGCTTTCATATTCAGTTCTCATACGTTCATCGCTTCTGTTATCAGTTCTTTCATCGTCATCGTCATCTTCATCGTCATCTTCATCTTCATCGTCATCGTCATCGTCGCCGCTGTCGTTATCAGATACATCATTGTCTACGCTCGTAAGGCCATTGTCGTTGGTTCTAGCTGTATCATCATTGTCGGCAACAGTTGTATCATTACCTCTCCCAGACTCATCGTCGTTGATAACACGTGTATTATCAGATGCAGCATTGTCTCCCTTCCTAGACTCATCGTCATCGGTATCAGTTGCATCATCGTTTCTGCTTCTACGGTCGTCATCATCATCGATATCACTTCTATAAGTGTCTCTCTTCCTACGGTCATTGTAGTCGTCCGTATCAGCTGAATCATCATCTTCATCGCTGTAATCGTCGTCGTCCTCTTCATCATCATCATTATCCTCATCGTCGTCGTTATCACTAGTATCATCATCATCGTCACCATCCCTACTGTCTGCTGTATCATCATCATCGTCGTCGTCGTCGTTGTTATCGTCCTCATCATCATTATCACTAGAATCATCATAATTGTCACCATCGCCACTGTCGACGCTTCCATTTCTATCATCATCATCATCATCATCAGCTGAATCGTCATCGTTATCAGTTTCATCATCACTGTCGTCGTTATCAGCTGAATCATCATTGTCATCGTTATCTGCTCTATCACCACCATCATCGTTATCAGTTCTATCACCATCGTCGTCGTCGTCGTCATCATCATCATCATCATTGTCGTCATCATTATCAGCTGAATCGTCATCGTTATCAGTTTCATCATCACTGTCGTCGTCATCATCGTCATCATCGTCATCGTTATCAGCTGAATCGTCATCGTTATCAGTTTCATCATCACTGTCGTCGTTATCAGCTGAATCATCATTGTCATCGTTATCTGCTCTATCATTACCATCATCGTTATCAGTTCTATCACCATCGTTGTCATCATCATCATCATCATTGTCGTCATCATTATCAGCTGGATCGTCATCGTTATCAGTTTCATCATCACTGTTGTCATCATCTGAATCATCATTGTCATCGTTATCTGCTCTATCATCACCATCATCGTTATTAGTTCTATCACCATCGTCGTCGTCATTATCAGCTGAATCATCACCGTCATTATTGTGAGTTATATAATCATCGGTTGCGTAATCAGCTGAATCATCGTGGTCGTCATTATCAGTTCTATCATTGTCGTCATATGATGAATCATTGCCGTCATCATAATAAGTTCTATCATCATCTTCGTTGTCATCATAGCTGTCATCATCGTAGTAGTTCTCAGTACTACCATTATCGTCGTCTTCGTTAGAATCATCGTCGCTCCTCCTTCGCTCATAGTCTTCGTTATAATAGCCTTCGTTATCACCGCCTCTCCACTCAGGTCGAACTCTTCCCCTGTTCACTAAACCTTCGCCAGTGTCTTTTCTTTGATAAAATGAACCAGTGTCCTCAGCATCTTCGTTATCAGTTGTATCACCGCCTCTCCTCTCAGGTTGAACTCTTCCTGTCCTCTCAGGTCTAACCCCTCCTGTCCTCTCAGGTCGAACTCTTTCTTTCCTCTCAGGTCTAACCCCTCCTGTCCTCTCAGGTCGAACACTTCCTGTTCTCTCAGGTCGAACTCCTCCTGTCCTCTCAGGTCGAACACTTCCTGTCCGCTCAGGTCGAACCCCTCCTGTCCTCTCAGGTCGAACTCTTTCTTTCCTCTCAGGTCTAGCCCCTCCTGTCCCTCTCAGGTCGAACCCCTCTGTCCCTCAGGTCGAACCCTCCCTCAGGTCGAACCCCTCCTGTCCTCTCAGGTCGAACACTTCCTGTTCTCTCAGGTCGAACTCCTCCTGTCCTCTCAGGTCGAACACTTCCTGTCCTCTCAGGTCTAACCCCTTCTGTCCTCTCAGGTCTAACCTTTCCTGTCCTCTCAGGTCTAACCCTTCCTGTCCTCTCAGGTCTCACCCTTCCTGTCCTCTCAGGTCGAACCCTTTCTGTCCTCTCAGGTCGAACCCTTCCTCTGTCCAGTAAACCTTGATCAGTGCCTTTTCTTTGAAAAGTGGAACGGTTGTCCTCAGCTTCTTCGATGTCAGTTGCATCACCGCCTCTCCTCTGAGGTCGAACCCTTCCTCTATCCACTAAACCTTGACCAGTGCCAATTCTTTGAAAAGTGGAACGGTTGTCCTCAGCTTCTTCGATGTCAGTTGCATCACCGCCTCTCCTCTGAGGTCGAACCCTTCCTCTATCCACTAAACCTTGACCAGTGCCAATTCTTTGAAAAGTGGAACGGTTGTCCTCAGCTTCTTCGATATCAGTTGTATCCAAGTCAATCCTTTCAGGTCTAACCCCTCCTCTCCTCTCAGGTCTAACCCTTCTTTTCCTCTCAGGTCTATCCCCACCTCTCCTCTCAGGTCGAACCCTTCCTCTCCTCTCAGATCGAACCTTTCCTGTCCTCTCAGGACGAACCCCTCCTCTCCTCTCAGGTCGAACCCTTCTTCTTTCCACTAAACCTTGACCAGTGCCTTGTCTTTGAAAAGTGGAACCCATGTCCTCAACATCTTCGTTATCATATGCATCACCGCCTCTCCTCTCAGGTCGAACCCGTCCTCTGTCCACTAAACCTTGAAAAATGTCTTTTCCTTGATAAGTGGAACCAGTGTCTTCAGCTTCTTCACGAAGATCGTTTCTTCCTGCCAAGGAAGAAGATAATGTTAAGTTCATCTTAACAATGTCTCACAGCTTAAACTAGTTACCGGTTGACATGGACATGCGTTTTACGCCGCTGGTAGTGATATCCCAGCAGCATCACGGGAGGAGATACCAGCAACTGGCTGCACACATTCTACAAAATTACATTGTACGATTGTGTCGGAATATCATTACAAAGGTATCTTTCAAAATTTCAACATTTCACCATAGCCTAACATTCTTTATAGAATACACGCTTATATCAACCTATAATACCATGACAGATTTTGAATTGTCACCTAATCCCTGTTCAAATTGAGGCAGACAACACTGCCCATTCCCAATTTATTGACTCAGCCAAGTATAACCAATTATAACACCATACTGATGAAGAATTTCCATGATTTATGCCAAAATATTGTGTCCTACACCATCCATAGATCTTACCATCAAGTAACGCTGATGTGGAAACCTGTATATATGCATACACCAGTATGGAACTACCCGGGGTATATAAACAGAAGGGTCAGCCACACTCATCAAGAACCATACCAGTAAATGTAGCTTTCTTCACTTCAAGATCTATTTCGCAAAATTTACCTTGTACACAGCATCTGTTAATTTACTAAAATACCCAAAATAAGCTCCCTATTTCTCAGAACTATAGCAAAGTATAGACACCATCATTGAACATATGTCTGGAACAGATCATGTTACCAATCTATAACAGTTTTATTAGCTTGAGATGCTAGGCATGTGCAGGCTTTTCTCCATACAAGTAAAATGACACAATAACTCAACAGGGCTACCGTTATAACATCATTTCTATGGGCCACCATTTCTTCAGACAATAATGTTTTATTTTATCACTCCCTGTATCATTACAAACGTTTCCCAGAACATTAAACTTCTTTTGGAGTAAATTACAAGTTCGTGTCAGCAACACCAGCAAACATAAGTACACACAAGTTAGCATGGAACTGATTTATACAAAATAATGGCGCCCACTCTTTTTCTAATTTTTTAAAATGTAGCTCATTTATCATGAAAATACCGGTCTGGCAGGTACCGACGGAAAAATGAAAACCAAGATGAGAATACACTTCTTTTCAAAACACGCTTTTAAGTGAGAATACATTGACGCAATAGTATTATAAAACTTGCCAGAGAGCATAGCTTTTTGCAATGACTGTACGTCCACGCCATGCCTATGTGTGTTAAATGCCTTCGAAATATTTATGATGAGACAGTAAAATCTCTTCCTTTTCTTACAGCAGTGCTTTTAGAGTGAGCGAGTGAGTGAGATTAGTATTACGTCGCACTCAGCAATATTCAAGCTAAATGGCGGCGGTCTGTAAATAATCGAGTCTGAACCAGACATTCCATTGATCAACAGCATGAGCATCGATCTGCGCAACTGGGAAACGATGACATGTGTTAACCAAGTCAGCGAGCCTGACCACCCGATCCCGTTAGTCGCCTCTTACGACAAGCATGGGTTGTTGAAGAGAAATATTAACCTGGATCTTTACGGGTGTCATTTTAGAATTTGGGAAGTGCAATATCGACAAACTACACGGATAGCAACTTCTTTTATTGCGATACCGATTCGTGTACCGTTGTCAAGCAGGACACTTGACAACGGTACACGGATCTGTATCGAAACAATAGAAGTTGTTTTTCATAAAGTTGAGACACAAGCCTGTAAAGTAAACATTCCATATACAGAGTACGTTTTCCTGAAGCCCGGCTTAATTAATGATATCATTCTTTTCACACCAAATCTGCAGCCTTTTATTTAAAAAATGGAAGCAAATGTTTTGCAGAAAGCGCCAATCAGAAACATACCCCTGCTGTTTGTTTTTATCGTTTTACTACCAGATTTCGCTAAGTGCATAATATGATACCTTATCCCACCTGTTAAGGTTGATATGAAACATAAGTGTAAGCGCTTGAAAAAATTATAATCTGTATAGTAATTATTTTTTGTTCGCATGTGTCATTGGTCAATGCAGTGCATGCTGTCGCTGTAGTCTGTAGGCGTATCTACGCAAAGACGATTATACAGATTGTTACTCGCTTTTCATCCGTGATAGTGTCGAAAATACCCTCTACAACTCTGTTTTCTTTAAGAATTTTGGAACAATTTGTGGCATCCAGTGGCCTGTCTTTCCGTTCCTTTAAAAAGTGAGTACTACGAAGGCTCGAATAATGTTCACAGACGTGTGTCGATATCCCGGGCTTGTATGCCTTGGAGTGAGTGTGATATTGGTTTAATGCTGTTTTGAACACCATTTCGGCTACTTGACTTGATACGAGAGTAGCACCCGGAGTGCCGCAAGTTTTAGACGGTTACCATTTCGGTGAAACAACGAGTAAATGTATGATACTGAGACACCTACAATCATTAATCTGGGATGTCGGTATTTAAGCTATAAGCTTTCTCAACTAGCTGACATTTCATAGAAACCACGAAGCATCACCATAAGCCGTTATAGCCATTTGAAAAGTCAAATTGTTATTGATATATAACCTATCAAGCTTAGATTTGTTTCTTCCACACACTTGCGAATTTTGGACTTTTGTCATGATCAAATACACAAATGGCTAAATTGGGTGAATATGGTTAAATTCTTGAACATCCTGTTCAAATGATGACGTTTTGTACCGCATATTTTCAATGTTTCTAAGAAAATCTGACGTTAGCGACTTGCTGATGTTCAGTATCAGAAAATTCTTAAAACCCCCGAAACCTTTTAATACCGTTAGCCTTACGCACATGGCGCCGTTGAGGCAAGGAAGTGTTGCTCTCATTCATAGCAACTTCTGACAGTATTCGCAATGAGCTATATAGTTTCATGTCAGAAATCATCCCGTGGGCCCAAAGAGACCTGATCACACGTCGTCATTTCAAAATGAAATCCTTTTTGGAAATTTCTATTCAAAAGCAAAGTACTAACCTCGAAACAGCCTTTTGGAACTGAAGCCGGCCGCAAGAACTACATCTGCAAAAGTCAAGGGGATGATGTCAAGATAGTGAACAACGTCCACAGTAACTGTCGCATCTGAACATAATTAAAGGCAAGATGTTCAATTGCTGACGCACCTGTATGATGGAATTATCGTTTAGATAGTTGGGGGAAGACAAGTTCAGTACTACATTTTAAAGTATACTGGACAATAAAAGTTAGGAATTTTGGTATTTTTATGATTAATATTTTATCAGTGTGTCAATACATAAATAGATCATTATTCATAATTTCAAAATTTACATATATCCCTAACTATTTTTGTCCAGTATATAAAGGAATAATAGTTTAAATAATGGGTGAAAAAGATGTTCGTTACTACACATGTAAAGTATAATGGAATTGTTTGTTAAATAGTTGAGGGAAGACATGTTCATTACCGAAGATGTGAAGTAAAATGGAAATATCACATAAACAGTTGGGGAAAAACATGTTTAAACACTGATCTAACAATACAAGCAAGATGCTTAATGGATGACAACTTGTTTATCCAGTTCCAATGCGACGTTTCGGTATGGATCCTTCCTCTATTGTCACTCTTGCTTGAACACGATAACAGAAAAACAAAGTTGTTGATAGTTGATCCATAAGGTATCGTGTCTTTTTTCTGACTTATTTGAACTTCTAAAAATGCAGCTCGACTTATTAAACACATGCTGCCTAATTCGCTCGTCAGTTTTTCCAACCTTGTTTCTGACCCGTCACGGGACGCGACCAGGCACTGCACATTGTAACGCTCAACACCACTCGTTACATGTACAGTCACCTGAAGCAGCATGTGATTATGTAACCATTGTGGTGCATTGGTAGAAGTATAGATAACATATGTACTTACATGTCAGCAAGAGAAAGGATAACGCAACCTTGGTCCTCATCGTGCAGAAACCGAAGTTCTCGAAAAGTCCTCTCAAAAAGTGTGGAAGCTTCTGAGGCAAGCAGGTCGGATGTACGATTTTTATACCAACAGCAAAAGACATATACCCATATCTCTTAAATATTACGTCGTGTAATGACCTGGTAAGAGTGACATTCAGCTCCGCCGTCTATCACAGTAAAGGGGCGGTTCTTTCTGATACAGTAATCACTTCAAATTTGAAGACATGAACCAGCGGAAACGGAGAATGTTTACTCGACAGATTGTAGTAACGGTAAGATATGATCATACGTTCAAATCAGTGCACAAGTTGCACAAAACAACCGTATATATATGTATATAAATTACACCTTGCAAAAACGGCTGTATGGTTGGGCGTAAGGGCTTTATTCAATGAATCATCAGTAAAATCACAGTTAATTCGAGATGGATGAGTTTATACCAGCTCCCCTTTAACTACAAAAAATACAACAATCTTATCTCACTTATATTTCCCTTCATCCTTGATTTATACTTGATTCCAATCAGATGTTGGTATTCACTGGTATTACCAAAAGTTTATTTATTTATTTATCCATAATATATTTATGGATAAATGGATAAATAAACCTTAGCCAGGCAAACACTTTTCTATTTAATACGATGTCCATAACATATTTATGGGTATCGTTTTAAATAAAAAAGCGTTTGCCTGGCTAAGGTTTTGCAACCTGCCATTAATTGGCTTATCTTGTCACACGTCCCTGTAATACACAGAGGAAATGTTATCGTAGTCAGGTAATTCATTGCGGATGCTTGGCCGGTTTTCCTGTCCCTAATTTGGTGGCACAACCCACATAAAACATGTCAGCTGGTACACATTTCCTCTTATAGGGCGAAATGACAAATTCCATGAATCTAATAAAGCTATGTCATTTGTTTTCTTTAATAATATTCCACAGATATCTCAGTGTCATGAAAGTCGGGAAAAGAGCAACACTAAGGTAAAAAAGATATACACATGAACATTATTTATGCACCACGAATCTTTGGTCCGACTTGGCTCGTGCTATCAAAGGCAAACATAAACGTATCTTGGATTGTGTTTCTATCTAAAGAATATTATCTAAATATCACTTTATAAAGTCTCAAATCGAAATATTTTAAGCAAACACGTTGCTTAAATTGAAGCTCTCTTTATCACATTCTGAACATAGTCTCTGTATCACAAGTGTTCTGTCCGACTTGGTGACTGAGGCAACAAAACCTTAAAGGTCACACAGATATTCTGAATTTTATTTAGATGCATAGCATAATACCAATTCTACCAAAAATGCTACTTTTTGATGTTACAATACATCACATGTAAAGATAACTGCTAAGTTAAAGGGAATCCCTTTCCCCTCTATATTCTTAATACAGTCTCAATCAAAAGTCTTTGGTCTCTGGTTGGTCCGACTTACCCTGGCTGTAAAAGCCCTTAACACACCTAAAGAATACCCGAATACAGCATAAAACGTCTCAAATATATTATCACACATGGCCACACCTATAGAATACCTGAATACAGCTTAAAACGCCTCAAATATATTATCACACATGGCGACACCAATAGAATACCTGAATACAGCATAAAACGTCTCAAATATATTATCACACACGACCACATCAATAGAATATCTGAATACAACATTAACGCCTCAAATACATTATCACACATGGCCACACCAATAGAATACCTGAATACAGCTTAAAACGTCACCAATATATTATTCCATATAGCCACATCTATAGAATACATGAATACAACGTAAAACCTCTCAAATACTAGTATTTCTATTAAACACGTTGCTTGATTTTGGCTGTTCCGGGTTGTGTTCATTTTGAAGATTAACCGTATGTTTGTTTGTTGTTTCACGTCGCACTTAGCAATATTCAAGCTATATGGCTATCTGTAAATAATCGAGTCTGGAGCAGAGACTCAAGTGATCAACAGCATGAGCATTGGTCTACGCAACTGGGATACGATGACATGTGACAACCAAGTCAACGCGCCTGACCATCCGATCCCGTTAGTCGCCTCTTACAAGCATGGGTTGTTGAAGAGCAATTCCAACCCGGATCTTCGTCTTATCTGCACTAAGTCCAAGTGTTATCCGCAAGAAGTACTGGTGTTATCTGCAACATGTCCGGAACTTATCTGTAACACGTACTAGTGTTATCTGTAACATGTTCTGGGGTTATCTTCAACAGTTAAATTGTTATCAGAAGGAAATACTGGTGTTATCTGTGAGAAGACCTGGTGTTATCTGAGTTTCTTGGCATTACCTCCATGGCAGCCTTAGCTTATTAAGTTAGACGTAACGTAGCAAGTCATTCATGAATAGTGAGTAAGTGAGTGAGTTAAATTACAAGACATGTACATACCACATTTACAGTTTCCAGTTGAAACCAAGACACGTGCCTTGGTAGAAACAGATTGTATTGACCTTACGTGTGAGGTAATGTGCAGTGCTATTCATACAAGGATGCGAAGAAGCATGTATTCACATGAGCATTAATAAAGGCATCGCCTGAATCAAAGGGCAATGTTTAAAAATTTGTTACAAATAAGCAATCATACTCTAGCATATTCGAATGCACATGACAAGCACGCGACTCACGGTGTCTCAAAAGATATGTGTAGCATGTTCACGTGCTGCGAAGGCACCAATCATCCGATCACACGTCCATTCTTCACAGGTAAGCACAGGCATTAACGTGTGGAGCACGCTTGGTGCAAGCCCGAGGAAATAGGAGGGTTCGTTGGCCTGCTGAAATTCTTCTACAGGCTACCGACGGTCGTTGTCGTGTGTGGAGACGTCGTAACGAGCCATTTTGCCAAGAGATCCTCCATGCAGCTGAACGCTTTGGTGGAGATTCAGCGACGGTGTATGGTTGCGTTTCATATGACTACAAGTTGGATCTCATTACAGCACTTGGGTCAGTTGGGTAATCAGTGGAAAAAGTAAAATCAAAGCAAAGATGTACATTCAATATATTGTTTATTTCTTCAAATATACTAAGCAGCAAAAGAAACGTCAATTTGGAATTTTCCTTCTTTTAATGTTTTGATTGTATATTTTTGACAACATCTCCAACTTTACCTGAGCAAAGACATTCCTTCCCAAACTCCTGGAACCCAGGAAATGGTCTTAAAAACACAACCTGATCTCGGAGATGGTACGGTGTTCTCCATGTTTTTCATGCAACTCATGCTGCACGAGCTGTTCACAAGGACCAGTCCTATAAAATGCACCCCAAACCTGGTTGAAACATTCACATTACAACGTCAGCAGGATGCCGAGACTCACGATAGCTCAGAAGAACCAGGCGCTAGGAAGACTTGAAGATGGCCACACTGCACAAGCCGTTGTCAATCACTTCCAGGTCAACGTTCGGACCATCTACAGACTGCAGCAACATTTCCGGGCCACCAACACCACAAATGATCGCCCCCGTACTGGCAGACCAAGGGTGACCACAAGACGACAAGACCGCCGTGTTGTGCGACAGCATGTACAGAATCCCTTAATGCAGGCATCCGAAACAGCACGCCAGACAGTGGGAACACACAGTACGCCGACGTCTTAACAGCGGGAACCTCCATTGCCGTAGACCTTACCGTGGACCTAGCCTCACCCCTCGTCATCGGCGTGAACGTCTACAGTTTCCCCTACAACACAAAAACTGGCGATACAGGCAATGGAGAACTGTTCTGTTCACAGATGAGAGTCGGTACTTCGTACCAACTGCAGATGGCAGAACAAGAATATGGCGACTATGTGGCCAGCGTTACTGAGACCAATGTGTTATCGAAAGAGACTCATGGGGAGGTGCAAGCATCATGGTATGGGGTGGAATAGGCCTGAATCAGAGAGTGGGTCCTGTGTAGTTCCAGAGCCTTGGTCCAGGGAGAGGAGGCGGCATCACAGCAGTGCGCTACATCGACCAAGCTCTCAGACCCCACGCCATACCACATTTCGCACGTCACAGGAACAACATTTCCCAGCATGATAACGCCCGGGCCCATACTGCCAGAGCTACACGGGACTTCCTACAGCAAAACGGTGTCAACATTATGCAGTGGCCAGCCCTTAGTCCTGATTTATACCCAATTGAACATCTTTGGGATGAAATTCAGAGGAGACTGAATACTGCCGATTTATTGCGCCAGGCCTTTCTCAGAGTGTGGTCCCAGGTGCCAATGGCCTTCATCAATCGAATGGCGCACCCCATGCATAGACGCTGTGCTGCAGTTATTGCTGCTCGTGGTGGTAACACTAGATACTGAAGTCAAGAGTCTGAATGGACTGCAAACGTTCACGTAATGTCTTGAAATTATGCTGAGTTATTCATTGATGTGTCAGGATATTGTACACAAAACATGGTATTGATTCACTTATAATGTCCATTTCTGTTATGATTTGAATACAGTGCCTATCCAATTTTGAATTCGTACTGACGTGTTTTATGCTGCTGAGTATACATCTTCGCCAGCGATACACTTGCCAGAGAATGTCTTTTGATGAAAGATATTTTCGGCTGATCTCCTCACGTATAGAACCAGACGTTTCTTTTGTGTTGAACTTTTTGACGTCATTGAGATGAAGCTGTTGGAGCTTCATGACGAGTGATTTCGGATGTATTTTCAATACAAAGACGACGAGTCCAGGTATCTTTCTTGCATCTCGGCTTTGAGGTTGATGCTTCCTTGTCATTATGATGGTGTACTGATCTCAAATGAGTGAGTGAGTGAGTGAGTTTAGTTTTAAGCCGCACTCAGCAATATTCCAGCTATATGGTGGCGATCTGTAAATAATCGAGCCAGTGATCAACAGCATGAGCATCGATCTGCGCAATTGGGAACCAATGATTTGTGTCAACCAGGTCCCGTTAGTCGCCTCTTACGATAAGCATGGGTTACCGAAGATCAATTCTAATCTGGACCTTCACGGGTCGATCTCAAATGAAGGTAAATAA